TGGTGAGCAGCCATTTGTTGAAAAATTAATGTATATTAATGTTTGCTGTAGGGCTTCCGAGATCAGTCAACTTGGTCGATGTTGCCGCTGAAAATGCATCAACATCAATATTTTAAATTAATGCATCATGTTCTTTTTTTTAAAGTTATTAACATTATGATTTCAAAACTGCTTCAGTTCATTATAACAAATGTTTCCCTTTAATATCACTACGTGATTATGGGAGTAGTTCAAATTATCACAAAACTGAAAGGTTTACAAAGGTTACAAAGTACGATGGCATCCCATAGCGGTTATTATCCCATAGCGGTTATTATAACATAGCGGTCGTTATACCATAGCGGTCGTTATACCGTAGCGGTCGTTAGTGGCAGCCCTAGTTTGTTGCCATATGGTTATAGGAACCCAGTCAGTCTCTGGTGCCCGGTAGTGGTTGAGATACAGCTCATGAACGGATCGGACCCTGATCTCTGGGCTGCTGCAGGGAGCACCCCCCTCAGCTCCATATGCCTCTGTCTCATTTTCCCACGCCCGCCTCACCAGGGATGCGCCTGGCGCTCGCTGACGCGGGGGACACCGTGGAGGACGCCAACTTTGTGGAGGCCATGGCCGACGCCGGCATCCTGCGCCTCTACACCTGGCTGGAGTGGGTGAAGGACACGATCGCCAATCAGGGAGCCCTACGCACAGGGCCGGCGGACTCCTTCAATGATCGCGTCTTTTTAAGGTTGGCATCCCCAAATCCGTGTCCTGCGTCGTTGTGTGTGTGTGTGTGTGTGTGTGTGTGTGTGGGTGGGTGGAGAGGTTGTCCGTCAAGGCTGACGTCCCAACAAGATTGGCTTCATCCACAGTGAGATGAATGCCGGCATCTTGAAGACGGAGCAGCACTACGAGAGGATGATGTATAAGGAGGTGCTGAAGTACGGCTTCTTTGAGTTCCAGGTATGCTGTCCGATCGCGCGGGTTCTCTGCGCTCCCCGTCCCTCCCTCCCTCCCCCCGCGCTCCCCGTCCCTCCCTCACTCCCCATACCTCCGTCCCTCGCTCACCATCCTACCCTCTCTGCGTGTCCCTCGGCAGGCGGTGAAAGACAAGTACCGGGAGCTGGCGATTGAGGGCATGCACAGGGACCTGGTGTTCCAGTTCATCACCAATCAGACGCTGCTCCTGGCGCCCATCTGCCCTCACCTGTGTGAGCACGTCTGGGCCCTTCTGAAGAAGGTGAGGCTGGGGAGCACCATGGCGGCGGGGGCCAGATGTGGACTCCATCACACATCCACCTGAATGTTATCTCTGCTGTCTTTAGGGAGCTGAAGGAACAGCACATGTCATGGCTGTATGACAGCTGTGCTGCTTTATCAGTCTCCCTCTGGGGCGCATGGGGGGGTTTGCGGGGGATTGTTTTTATTGGGATTGCCTGATGAGTTGGCCTGCAACTTAACATCCTTTCCCTGGCATCCAAAGCATATTCTGAGCCCCCCGCCCCTTTGCCGAGCCGCCCCCCCTTCACACACACATACGCACACACACATACGCACACACACACACACACACACACACACACACACACACACACACAGCTCTTAGCTGACTTTGATGCTTTCTTCCATCCCCTCAGCCTGACTCTCTGATGAAGGCCTCTTGGCCCATGCCTGGCCCGGTGGACGAGGTCCTGATCCGCTCCTCCCAGTACCTCATGGAGACGGCTCACGACCTGCGGCTGAGACTCAGGGGGTACATGCATCCCCCGAAGAACAAGGTACGGGCTGGCGTGGAGGGGCGTTTGGATGGGGGCTCCTCTCTCCTGTCACTGACCTCTGAGTGCTTTATCTCACGCTCCGTAATGGATCATTCGGCACCACACGTCTCTCGCTGCCATGGCTCTGGTTCTGCGGGGGTGATGGGGCATGCGGGGATGCACTGGGGCATGCGGGGATGCGCCGTTTCGGCGCGGCCCACTGTGGCGCTGCAGGCTTTCTCCGATCTGTGAAAACCCCCAGACGCAGTGACTAGACGGAGCCGGACAGCTGTCATGTACCTCGAGCTCACTAGGCAGGTTCAGAGCGCTTTTAAGGGGGAACAGGCTTAGGTTTATTCCGGACGTCGTTATATAAAATGCGAATCAATGATTTAAAATGGCTTTTTCTGTCCTGTTCGGCCACGCGACTCGGTAATGGGTGTCACATGGCCGTGTGGATCTGAGCCTGGGGGGCTGAGCTGACCTGTGGTCCTGCCTTGGTACAGAAAGGGAACGGCAAAGCTCCAGGGAAGCCCTCTCACTGCACCATCCACGTGGCTAAAAGCTACCCCCCCTGGCAGCACTGCACCCTCTCCCTGCTGGCAAAGCACTACAAGGCAAGTGGTCCGTCAGCGCCTCCCCCTGGCTGCCTCTGGGAAGGCGGATTGACACACAGTGTACCTGTCTCCGGCCTGTTTATGTCGATGCTGGTCTTCGAGCAGAAAGCCAGTACTGCTTTTATCTATTTACTTATTTTTTGATGATCTGGTCATTTATTTAATTATCATTATTGACAAGATGGTCAGTTAATCAAGTAATTATTACAAAGTATTATGGTTAAGATGTAGGTTTTGCAGGTAGGTTTGCAGGTCCTTTCATCAGTACAGCTCCTCCAAACACCATTTCGAAACCTGACTTCAGTTGTTAGGTTAATGTTACTGGTGCAGTGCCACCAGCAGGCTGAGTGGGGCTGGATCGAGGGGCCTGTGGAGCCGGCTGACTCGCCTGTCTGTCCCGTCTCCAGGTCAACGACGGGAAGCTGCCCGACAACAAGGTGATCCTGGGGGAGTTGAGCGCCCTGCCAGAGCTGAAAAAGTACATGAAGAGGGTGATGCCCTTTGTGGCCATGATCAAGGTGGGCAGGCGTCAGAGTGGCGCTCAGGTCTCCGGTCTCTGGGAGTCTCACCGTGTCTCTCAGACCAGGGGGCTATTCCATGAAGCAGGATTTCTTAGTTAGCCAGGTTAACTTAAGCTAGAAGTCATGATTGTCCAGTAAGATTTTAGGTAAGGAGCATTACTATTGGACAGTCATGACGCCCAGCTAACCGAGAGATCCTGCTTCGTTGAACACCCCCTTGGCTCTCCGAAATGTAGCCAGGTTGTGCCGCAGGAGAAATGAGCATTGTGACAGTGGATCCATCTTAACACAGCTCTCCCGATTCACAGGAGAACCTGCAGAAGAACGGGCCACGTGTTCTGGACCTGGAGCTAGAGTTTGATGAGAGAGCAGTTCTCCTGGAGAACATGGTTTACCTAACCAACTCTCTTGAGGTGACCCCTCATTTCCTCTCCTTAGTCATACATCTAACGGTGTCTAGAGATTAATCACCCTTTTGGAGGAAAAAGTCAATCCTTTTCAATTATAATGTTTATCGGTGTCTTAGACACACAAGTGTGTAATGTTTTCATCAGTATTCAATTCCATAGATGGTTTTCATTCCTTTGGCAGCTGGATCAGATTGACGTCGTATTTGCATCAGAGGCGGATGACAAAATAAGGGAGGACTGTTGCCCGGGGAAACCGTTTAGCGTCTTCAGAACGGAGGTAGATCATCAACAGAGGCTTTTGATTCATTTCTAGGCAGATGCTCTTGGACAGAGATGCATTAATCAACTGTGAAGAAGAGTGATTTTGAAGATGGATGCTGTTTATTGCATGTTGGAGTTGGTTATTCTGTCCCATCAGATTTTACTGTGGGACATCTTCAGCAAATCATCTAGCTCTGCCTTTGAAATGTATCATTGCAGTGCTCCGACTCACACTTGGTTCAGTGAAACCCATATAAAATGTTAAAGACCCAAATACAGACACTGTCAAAATGAAAAAGGTCTCTTATCTGGAGGTCTTTATCCAAGCTTTCTTTAAATGTATACCCTCTGCTTTATTTCTCCCTTTGCAGCCTGGTGTCTCTGTGTCCTTGATCAACCCGCAGCCAGCCAACGGACTCTTCAGCACCAAGTTGGACATCCACCAAGGCGACAGTAAGGACAGCATCGTCCGCCGGCTGTCCAGAGTGAACAGAGCAATCAAAGGTAAGCTCAGATGTCCACCAGGGGGAGCCGTTGATGTCCCCGGCGTGAGAGAGGCGGATGCCAGTTGGGGGAGGCCAGCCTTATGTAACGCCCCTCTTCCGTCTCGCCATCCCAGACCTGACAAGAGTGAAGCTGATGAGATATGATGACCCTCTTCTGGGACCTCGGAGGCTGCCTGTCCTGGGGAAGGAGGAACAGGGCAAGACGGCCATCTCCGACAAGTCCGCGTTCCAGGTAGACCTGTCTGCCAAGAAGGTGCTGCTGACGGAGAACGGCCTAAGCGTGGACATCGGGGACACTCTGGCTTACCTGGTCCATTAAAGGTCGTCAGCAGTATTGGGCGGGGAGAGATGTTCTGCTGACACGCCTGGAGAATGCAGTCAGCGTCTTTGTCCGTTTGCCATGTCATGATCGTCTCTCTACACACATTCAGAAAGCCTGATGACCTTCCCCAGAATTACCGTTATTCTACAGTCAGTCAAATAGACGGACGTGATTGTTGTCTAACAGCTTAACGGTGTCCAATAAAAGAAAATGGAGAAACTGCTTCTGATTGGTTCCTCTGCTTTATCTTTCCTGAGTCAAACACTGTGCTACTTAAGCAAAAGCATAAATACACGTAAGCCACCATTTCCCTACCACTAGAATGTCAGATGGTAATTATTAATTTTATTGTATGATATTAGTTTACACTTTAATAAGTTTTTATTTTTCAAGGTTAGGAGGCTTTCTAGTTTAGAGAATTTAGTTGGCTTGATATTGCCCTGTGATCTGTGCTCTAATCACACAGACTGCCAGAAGAGGGCAGGGTCGTTACAAGATAGGACTTCTGAGAGCCACCAGTATGATATATCATTCTTCCCATGCACCAGTCGGCTCGTTCTTCAGACTTCATGACCCGTTTGAGATCAGCAGCCAAACTCCTCATGATCAAAAGAACAAGCACCAGCATTTCCTTTCCCAACATAAAGCAATTTATTTTTTGAAAATATGTCACTGTCTCACACAGGCAATAAGAGGGTTGTAACACACTTTTCGTAACATGACATTGTAAGAATGTTCAGCTAAAGTACCAGCGTGTCACACTGCCAGCAATAATCGGCATAATGCAAGGGCCTTAATCTGCTGGGGAATATTACAGGTTTATTCTGGTCTTAGTTTGGAATTAATAAGTGAAAATGCTGCTTTCTATAATGGCATTAGTGTGCTAACTGAGGAACATTTAAGGATCTCTCTGAAAGCTCTTCCCTTTCGTTTCGGGCAGGTCCCGACACCTCAGGTTTCTGCTACGGTTTAAGCTGGGGTGTAGTCCCCAGATATGCAGGCACGCCAAGAACACTCCCTGTAATGATGGGGGGGCTTTGCTGGAACCACCTGTGAGTCCGTAGCATATAGGGAGCTGTGTGAGAATTATGGCAGGTGGCAGTTAATTAGCGACTGGGCATGTTGGTTACCACTGCTTACCTGAAACTGGGCAGTATTGCTGTGCCAGTACTCAGCTACTGAGAGCCCTGAGTGACCTTTGGAAACCCTGCACCCCACCACCCTCCGATTTGCTGGCAGTTAATTACATGCTGTATCTTTAAATTATGGCACCGCTGGAAAACAGAACCAAGCCACTTGTTTAACTGGCATGAAGACACGTGAAGATAGTCATACCATACATGCTGCTATTTACAAATGCAATTAGTACAAGAAAGAGGTTATATTCATCATGTTGGTATGTTTTCACTGGTTAATATTTAGTGGAGTTACTGGCGTTCACTAATCAGAATAGAATGCAGTGCATTTCAAACTAAGGTGGCTGCATGATTGCACAGTGACGTTGAGAAACAACATCTGCTCACTGTCATACTGGTGGCTGGTTTTTAAACCATCTGCAAACTTGTAATACCAGCCACACTGGACTAAAAGTGAACGCACATGGTTTAAGTACAAGAAAGCCACCTCAAATGTTTAATACCTTAAACATGAATAATAGTTTCAAATAATTTTGGCCATTCACACATCGGTTTGCACTTTGCAGGAATATTATTATATACATTTAATAATGTCTTTGTAATCCATACTTACATGTTACTGTTATCTTTCGGCCTGAATAAAGCACCACACAGCAAAAATGAAAATACAAAATAATCAGAGCTCCAAATCTGCGATGTTGCAGAACATCAAGTGAGCCAAGAGTAATTGCAAGTGACAATGGGTTAAATACGGTTAGATCTAAATCACTGAACAGTAAGATCAGAACTGAACGTACATGCCTTGTTACTCAGAAACACTCAGTGGTCCTAAGCACCTCTGATTACGGACATGTGAAATGCATCTGGGAAAGTTCACCTGCACACTCAGCATTTTGTAGGGTAAGTCACCCAAGGAAAGCGGACGAGTGTGTGAGAACAAAACATCAGTGTTGCTGAGCTCGCAGCAGACAGGAGTGTGTGAGAACATCAGTGTTGCTGAGCTCGCAGCAGACAGGAGTGTGTGAGAACATCAGTGTTGCTGAGCTCGCGGCAGACAGGAGTGTGTGAGAACATCAGTGTTGCTGAGCTCGCAGCAGACAGGAGTGTGTGTTAACGCACCTGCCCACTAGAAGCAAAAGTGCGACTCGATACTGTAACAGACTGAAACACTGGTAAAAAAAAAAGCTCCTGCTTTTTGCTTTTTAAAATGTGCACAATTATCACAGGAGGACGATGATGACGATGATTATGATTGGGCAGTTCATTGTCCATTTTCATCTTTGCTTTTAACAAGGTTACATCATGCATCCATTTCCCAGAAGCCCTTGTCCAGTGCAGGGTAACTGTAAGCTGAAAGCCCATCCAGGGGACACCATGACAGGACACTCGGTCACCCAAGCCACAGTGCTGCCCTTAGGCTATATAAGAGGGCTCTAAGGGGCAATATGATGTGTGTTACAGAGCTGCAGAAAGCAGCGGGTGCAGAGAGTGGGTTTCAGGACCACTGCTGGGACACTGGATGGTTCAGCAGCTGGGGCCTCATGGACTGCTGCAGGCTCAGGTTTACAGTGAGGGTTAGGGTTAGGGTGTAGCGTGTCACAGACAGACCTGGGCACCATGTGGCACCATCCCTCAGACACGCTCAGCCGACTCTCTCCAGCCCCTCCACAGTGCCGCCCCTCCGCATCCCGGCGGTTTTGCCGTCCACGAGCACGGGCTGCCTGGTGGAGAGTGCCGGAAGGCTTCCCCACGCCTCCAGGACAGGGAGGCCAAGCTGGGCGGCAAGGCCGGCGTGGGCCCTGGGCGGCAGGGTCTTCGCTTTCTCCCGGGATGCCTCTTGGCTGAGGAACCGCACCGACTTGAGAGGCTGCGGAGAGAGGAGCGGCCTCAACTATGTGAGATCACATGATTGAAACCTCGAGTTCGGAGACCGAATGAGAGATCGGAGAAACACGCAGGCCGAGGCCTCACCTTCTCCGCAGCGCTCTTCTGCGAGTCTGGTTTCACCAGGATTGACTGAGGGTGTGCCGAAGCCTGCTTCTCGTGAGGCCCTCTGGGTGCATCTCGGGGCTCCGACGACAGGGAGCCATCAGCAGAGGGCGCTGTCGCTACGTGATTCCAGACGGGCAGCCTGGAGGTGCTTAGGGCAAGACCACTTCTCGTCTTTGGTGTAAAGAGGACGGAGGACAGGCCCTGGCTCTGTGGAGAGATCCCCAGGAGGCCCATCTGCTGGGGTCGGACCGCGGACGAAAGAGGTGCCTGGGAGGAGATCCTCTGGAGGGAGGAGATCCTCTGGAGGGAGGAGCCTGAGAGCGGAGGGTGGGGTTAACGATGCTAGGAGAGCTAACCAGAAAGGCGGGTGTCTGACGGTGCCCTGCTCCTCCTTCGACGGTGCTCACCCCCGTGCGAAGCCCTGAGACCCCTCCTCAAGGAGTGCGGATTAGCCAATCCGGAACCGGCCCCTACCGAAGACATGACTTGGGTCGCCATGGTAACAGCAGGGCCATGTCCAGCTGACCTAATAGGCCCGTTGGTGGCGGGCCTGTCCTGGCCCAGGCCTGCCCCTTGGGGCTTGCACCCCACCGGCCTCTTCCCCCCAGGAGCGCTCAGAGGGGGAGGAGCGGCTTTTGGCTCCAGGAACCTCGCTGTGGTTCTGTGAAGAAGACCTCTCTTTAGTGATAAAGGCTTTGTTCCACCTTAAACACTTAGCTTGCCTTTCTTAACTGCACTGACACTTATGAGCACATCAGGGGAGAATATTAAGTTAAAAGCTCTCTGTATGAGGGGGGGGGAGACATGGCTGGGGGCCCATTCACTGACTTCATTTCCTGTCCGATAAGGGTGAGATCTTGTTCTCCTGCCGTAGCCCAGCAAACCCACCCACACCCAGATTCCTGAGCCCTCACGCTGCTGTAGCTCCTCCCAGGCTGATGAGTTCTCCTGTTGCACTCATTTCTTTTCCCAAACTCCGCAATCGATATAAAGTCGCCATTCCTTGATCACATGGTCCTGTCTGCTGTCCACCCAGCAAGAGTCATACTCTGTCCATAACTGATTATCTTTCAAACAGAGTATATTCCTTCCCTGGATGGTCTACTCCATGTTGTCTGAGTGCCTCTGATTTTAAAGCAGTTTCACAGCGAATCATGGCTGCTGAGATCTCAGAAATGCTCTTAGGAGGAGGAGATTTCAGCAGAAAGATGAATATTTCATGTGCATCGGGGAACAGAGAGACTCAAAGGCAGAAGCAGCCACAGAGTGATTCCATACAGTTAGCTAGTTTTTAGCCTGGCTGGTAACCAGCTAAGCTGCTGGTTTTTTGGCCGGTTTACCTGAGCACTGGTGTGATGTAGTTGGCAGGCAGGATGCCCACTTTGCCCGTCCTGAGGGACAGACCCCGGAGCCAGCCCTCAGAGAATCTGCCGTATACGCCCACCATCTCCCCCCTGCGCAGCTCCAGCTCCTCTGGGCGGCATGGGGTGTAGGAGTAAAGCGTGGCACACCTGGGTAACAAAGAGCGCCACCAAGCTGCTCAGAGGAGGCGAGCACACAAAGAGCGCCACCAAGCTGCTCAGAGGAGGCGAGCACACAAGGTGGCACGCAGGGACAAGGCAGACCAGGGCAAACAACACACAACTCACACCGATAGGCCACAGTACTGTCCATATTCATACTCACAGCGATAGGCCACAATACTGTCCATATTCATACTCACAGCGATAGGCCACAGTACTGTCCATATTCATACTCACAGCGATAGGCCACAATACTGTCCATATTCATACTCACAGCGATAGGCCACAATACTGTCCATATTCATACTCACAGCGATAGGCCACAGTACTGTCCATATTCATACTCACAGCGATAGGCCACAATACTGTCCATATTCAAACACACACCGATAGGCCACAATACTGTCCATATTCATACACACACACCAATAGGCCACAATACTGTCCATATTCATACTCACACCAATAGGGCCACAATACTGTCCATATTCATAATCACAATGATAGGGCCACAGTACTGTCCATATTCATACACACACACTCCCTGTGTTGGGATCTCTCCGCAGCAGAGAATGCATCAGTGGACATGGGAGGAAGCATATTGGGTTAAACAGAACCAGAGCCGAACCACTTGGAAAGGAAATGGCTCAGTGACTTAACAGGAACACTGTGACAGAGCAGGACTGCAGGGAGTACAGTAATAACTGTAGGGGAAAGAGCGTGTGCTTCATTAAAGCACAATCAGCGGATCCCCGGCGAGCATTCATCAGATGGGCCGATTTGGAGCCGCGCTGACCGGCCGTCGTGCAGCGATAGGGGCGCCAATTCCAGCGGGACCCAGCTGCCCTCCCCGCTGCCAGGCACCGTCGGGCCCGGTGCTGATGGTGTCCCATCCCATAAAGGCCACTGGGACACGCCAATGGTGGGGTGGTGGGGGGTTATAATGGGGAATTTGGGCCCCAACGGCTGAACAATGAAACACGTAGGAGTTTCCTGCTGACTTTGTCATGGAAACCGTCTGTCTGCAAAATTAAATTCTGTTCGGCAAATCACGGCTTGCCACCAGCGGATACCTCCAAACCACACCTCCCCACCGCTTCTGTTAGCAAGATGCTCGCAGTTGATCAGTGCTGCCCCCGCAGGCGAAGCCCTGTTGTTTCGTTATGACTAGGGGAAAGTCCGCAGTCGTGAGGAGCGAGAAACATGAATGACAATACCCAGGATGTGGCTATCAGCGCATTAACCTGGGATTTATTTATGCACACACACATATACACACACACACACACACACACACACACACACGGGACCAGTGGGAGTTATATTACACACACACACACACACACACACACACACACACACGGGACCAGTGGGAGTTATATTACACACACACACACA